AACACGCACTAGCACGAACGTCAAATTGATCGACTTTGGCTTAGCTACTAGACTGGATCCCAATGAAGTCGTAAAAATTAGTACAGGTACAGCAGAGTTCGCAGCTCCTGAAATTGTGGAACGCGAACCAGTCGGTTTCTACACGGATATGTGGGCTTGTGGTGTACTGGCATACGTCCTGTGAGTAGATCATTTGAATATAATATTTACAAAGTTTAATTTTTTATTAATTATAATTCCAAATAATAAAATATGTATAATTACGTTAATTCTAATTGAAAAGTCTGAGTGGACTCTCACCGTTTGCCGGTGACAATGACATCGAGACCCTAAAGAACGTAAAAGCCTGCGATTGGGACTTTGACGAAGAAGCGTTCCGGGATGTCTCTGAGGAAGGCAAAGACTTCATCAGGCGATTACTCGTTAAAAATAAAGAGTGGGTGCATTCACGTTAAAGTTTAATAATATAATTAGTAAATAGTAAAATAAATTTGTTCGATCATTAATATTATTTTTGTAGAAAGCGCATGACCGCTCACGAATGTCTTCTTCATCCATGGTTAACTGGTGATCATAGTGATCGTACCAATGTCATATCTAGTAGCCGTTATGTTAGCTTCAGAGACAAATTACGTGCCAAATATGATAACTGGGATAAATATGTTCTACCCATCGGCCGGCTAGCTGAATATTCGTCGCTTAGAAAATTATTAATAGAAAAATACAAAATCTATGACTCTTCCTTCGGTAAATTAATTTGATTGCCTCGTTGTTAGTAAAAGTTTCTGAATATTTCTATAGAATTCTAAATCAATGCATGGCATTTTATTTGTAGATCGCCGACAAGCTGCACCTAGATTTGTCATCAAACCTACAAGCGCATTTGCATATGAAGGACAAAGTGTTAAGTTTACTTGTCGAGTAATTGCCATTGCTGCTCCCGTTTTAACGTGGTTCCACAATAATCAAGAACTTCGACAATCTGTTAAGTTTATGAAACGTTATCATGGTGACGACTATACTTTCATTATTAACAGAGTTAAATTAGAAGACAGAGGAGAATATGTAATACGCGCTGAAAATCATTACGGTTATAGAGAAGAAGTTGTCTTCCTTAACGTACAACGTAAGTAGCGTGTTTGGAATCAAACTAAATTTCTATTAGAACATGCTCTAATAGCAATTAGTTATTGATCGATTGTTAATCATACGATAAATTTGCAGCACTGCCTGTACAAATTCCAAAATACAGACCAGAATTGCATCCGGTGCGCAGACGAGAACCACTTGGTTATAATGTATGGATGGAAACGATCGAATCAGCTCCAAACTTTACCTTCTTATTGAGGCCGCGCGTGATTCAAGTCAGACAAACGTGCAAGCTACTTTGTTGTCTTGCTGGAAATCCACCACCAACTGTCAAATGGTACAGAGATAGAGAAGAATTATCTAAACACCATTATTCGATGACACATGCAGACGGTGTCGTCACTATGGAAATTATAGATTGTAAACCAGAAGACAGTGGCAAGTATCGCTGCGTTGCAACAAACATTCATGGCAAGGATGAGACGAGCTGTGTCGTTATTGTAGAAGGTAAGCCTGGAAACAGAGAAATAAAAGAAATACAATGGTAAATATAGGTAACAATTAATGACTAAACAGCAATTGAAGTAACAGTACACATGAATCGATAGATCGTTAAATTATATATGTTTAATACATAATCTGATTAAATATTTATTTGTAGGAACTGGAGAAACAGAGGAGCAATGTAAATTAGCACACGACCTCCTACATTCCGGAGGTAGAGCCGCTTGAGCGTGACTTCCTTTATTTTTTGTCCCCTTTGATCCTTTACTATCTATGGAGTGACAAATGAGAAATTGCTGACCATTTGATTACAATGTATTTTAAACATCGATAAGAATTATATTATAAAAATATATTAAATGAAAACAACTACAAAAAACACTATGAGGCAATAGAGCTTCAGTGATTTTTTACTAGTGTTTTACGTATTTTTCTTCTTACGTTAGCAAAAAATTAGTCGTCAAAAAATTAGTGTCGTTTATTCGTATAAAAATTCATTTAGAAATGTTTTGTGAATATTAGAAAATATTGATGATTTTCCTCAATTCAATCCTAATGTTCGAATGATGTTCTATGTGAAAATATTGTTATTCTCTGTCCATCTCCTAAATTATTCATTGGAGAAGTTCCTCAGCTATATTCCATTTGTCACCCTATGTATGTTTTGAAGAATTGGAAGATAAAAATGATATATGTTAATGAAAACTATAAATTAGATTCTAGAATGTTACTACGTGTTCTAGTACAACGTTGATTAAATTTACAGCTGATCTGGAGACATAGTCAATAGATGCCTTCCAATTCTATAGCAGCCATTCGTTTACCTCATGATTCTATCCAATTTGATTTTATTTGTAGACGCTACAAAATAAGCAAAATTCCCGCAAATATGTTCTATAGAAAATGCATACAAAAATGCTTGTAGAGCATGCTGCAAAAGTAAATTGATTCCCATTATAATCAAATCTACGAGTCTTGATATGAAATACTTATCTTTAGATCGGAGGTTTATCGAACAACCACTGAAACCTGCACCACCACCTATTGTGACTGTTCACAAATCCAGTGGTTATAGTGGCTATAGTTCTACTACCACACAAGGATATTCAAGTTCATCACACAATTATAGTAGTTCAACTAACAAACAAAATTCCTCGAGTTTCTCATCTCATAAAGTAAGCTTATTAAAATGCAAAACAAGATCCTATATATAATCAGACAAATAGATATATGTATATCTATCGCTCTAATGTAATTTGTAGGCTACAACCGAGTCTTCGTCAGATAAACGTAGTGTTAAGAAATACGGAAGTAAATTAGATGCTACAGGTAGCCCATCTCGGTCTAGAAGCACTACTAAAGAACTTGCTTGTAAGTATCCTAGATTGTAAAATGATCATTTCTGAAAGTAACATGTAATTCATATTCGTGTAGATCCATCAGATGATTCTATGAGACCACCAGAATTCACTAAAAAACTAAATGATCTTACAATTAATGACGGAGAACAGCTGGAACTTACTGTCAAAGTTGATGGTGATCCAGAGCCACAAATAACTTGGCTGAAAAATGGCAAAGTTAGTATAAATAATTTCTTTACACATGGTATAATTATTATAAACGATATACGCGCGCGATATAATTATGTTATTATGAATAATATTTTAAATTCAATTTTATAGACTGTAAACTCCTCCGAGGTAGTTGATTTGAAATACAAAGCTGGTTCTGCAACTCTTACTATTAATGAGGTATTCCCTGAAGACGAAGGCGAATATAGTTGCAAAGCGACAAATAGTCTTGGAACATCCACAACATCTTGCAAATTGACTGTGAAACGTGAGTAAAACGTGTCACCCCTAAATTTGAATATCAAGAATTTTCATCGATTTATTTTGATTCATCAATGTAAAGAAATATTTTCATTTAATTCCTATTTTGTTTTTAGCAATGGAAAATGCGGCAGCTAAGAAAAAGAGTGATGACAAGCCACCGAAAATTGTAGATCATCTAACAAGCATGTTTGTGAAGGATGGAGAGGCTGTGACCCTCAGTTGTCGAATTATTGGTGCAAAGAAATTTGATGTGGTGTGGCTTCATAATAATAAAGAAATCAAGCCTAGTAAAGACTTCCAGTATACAAGTGAGGCTAACATTTACAAATTAAACATTGCTGAAATCTTCCCAGAAGATTCTGGCACATACACGTGTGAAGCATTCAATGATGCAGGAGAAAGTTTTTCGTCGTGTACATTGAATGTCCTCGGTAAAAAATCTCTTTAAATTTCTTTTATAATTAAATGAATACGCTTATGTTGTAATATTTTTGTGTAATATATATTTACTTGCTGTATAGTTCCCAACGAGGAACCCAAGAGCCCGGTCTTCACAACATTCCCACAATCAGCAACTGTGAGCGAAGGTGAAACAGTTACTTTCACATGCAAGACTGAAACTGCGCCCTTGAAAGGTAAGAGAAAATATCTTTATAAAAAATCTATCATCACATATAAAAAATAGAGTTATTTATTATTGAGGTAGTATAAATTTCGATATTTGTACTTGAAATATTTGTATAAAATTATATCTACTTATTCTATTGTAGATTAATATGAAATAACATAATGACTTTATTTTAACAGTAACTTGGTTAAAGGATGGTAAGGCGCTCCCTGAAAGCAGCAGCAAATACTCTTTCAGTTCAGACGGTGACAAATCGTTTGAACTAGGTATTAAGGCATGTACGGCTAGTGACGTGGGACAATACATAGCACGTGCAATTGGCAAGAAAGGCGAAACAAATGCAGCCTTTGCTTTAAACGTCACTAATCCCGGCGATCTCTAAACTCAAAATTATTACTTTTACAGCAATTTATATTATGGTCTTTTTTAGAAATCAGTTTTAATATACATCTACAACTTACAATTTGGAATGCTTCTGACAAAAAATGCCATATATGTATACGGAAAAAATATAAAATAATTCTATAATACAGCGGAACCTCGACTATTTATTCAGATATTATTCAATCGGGATATATAAATGTTCTTAGAGAATTCGGATTACAATGGGGAAGAGATTAAAATAATCGAGGTTCAATTGTATGCAAAACATCACGTTTAAAATATTTAGCTTGCAAATAAATCATATTGTCAGAATCACGATACAGTCGCTATTCGTTATACGTAAATTATTAAAAAAAAACACATTGTATTTTTGTTCTGTGTGCTTGTCATATTGCATAAATCTTGTCATTTAAAGGTAAACCAATAAACGTGTCAAGCATCACGGATAGCACGCGCACAACCTATACGCTAATATGAGCTTCGCTGTACACATGATTTAGCATATTTAAGTACACATGGTGCGTAGAGGCAGTCTAACATCAAAGTGCCAGGAAGAGTTATTAATTCTGATAAAATAGCCAGCATCCTCTAGTCATCTTAAAAACAAAAATATTTTATCGGAATGCATGAACTTGTAACGGCATTGCCAAAGCGTACTACTCTATTCCACATAATTGAACGCACTATCGTGTTATACTTGTTTGAAGACTGCTTCTATTACAAAATTTATGATAAATAAAAAACTTATGATTAAAAAATACAATTAAAATTTATTTTTATTTGTGAATATTTCTAATAATACTTTCTATCTTTTAATATTCCTTGATAATGAATATCACTTTACCGAAGGTGTTTAAGTATGAATTATAATAAAAAAGTATATTATAAATTACCTCATGTGGGTATACTACAGTGCAATGTACTTGGATTAATTGTACAAAAAATTCCATCCCTAGGAGATAAAGTTAGTCCTGCCAATTTATTACCTCGAAAAAATGGATCTCTACATTTGCATACTTTACATAATATCGATATAGCACCTATGTCAGGAATCATTTTTTCTTCTAATAGACATTCATGATTCATAACACGAACCACTGTGACTGTATGATCCTTATACAATTTTATGCAACGTTTACATAATGTACTTTGTACATTACCAATTTTATGCAAAATTGTTTCATTATTTTCTATAAGTATTATTTCATATTAGTAACTAATTTTGAATTTTGTACATATATATAATAATTTCTAATTTTCATACTTACTGATTACAAATATTATTATTCCAAATTCTAAACAAAAAGGCCTTGGATGCGTAATATTATTTAAAGAAATAATCTTCCATGTTTCATGTTTATAATCGAATATGTTAAGGTCAGTTTGCAACAAAAACAATTTTTTATTCACGAAAGTATGAGGAGGAACGGTTGAAAAACATTCAGGTATATTTGTACTTCGTCTCCATTGGCCTGCAAATATCTATTTGATATATTGTGAAACATGATATATATTCTATTTGTAAACATAGTAACCTGTATGTATGTTCAACATTTGAACTTTCGGTATTTTTATACGATGACGTGATACACCACCTGCTACAATTAAAGTATTATCTATAAATCCAAAAACCATGTGTCTTGTTGGGAAAAGAATACTAAAAACATATATATATATATATATACATATACATATATTAGAAAGTAAATGCCAATTTGATTAGGAAAGACATTATGAATGAAATTTAGAATATGATCCTTCATTACCTTGAAAAATAATACCATTTTTTAGCTATAAGGCAATATCGAAAAATAGTTTCATTAAATTGACCACTTCCTATACCGAACTCTCCACCACCAAGATATATACTAAATCCTGAAGAAAAATAAGATTAATTGTATTCAATATTTAAACTAATATTTCTAACCACATTAGTTAATTTTGGATTATTTTTATAATGCAAGTACCTCTGCCAGCAATTCGGTAACCTTCTAAGTCTTTTTCATTAGCTTTGAAACGCTTTAGATTTCCTAACCTAGTAAAATGGTCATTTTTCCATCTACAAATATATTTTTTTGTACGACCAGAAATTTCTTCTTCGATCCCAATTATATAATGCGTCCATTCAATTTTTCTTGTCTTGGCAATATCTATTTCGATATTATACATTGAATCCTAAACAAATCCATTAAACAACAAATATTAGTTTTGTAGAGTTTATCAAACTGTTTATACTATTAAAATATTCATTTACCATATTATTACTTTTCCATTCCTGCAATACATAATTCAAGTGATCCTGTGTTGACCTAATGTTATTATTTTGAATTAATTCTTTGATATAGTTAACAGGTAGTTCGATTAAATCATTAATGGGTAAATCCATAAAACAATCCAAGCATACAGACAAACAAATATCAGTCAATGGCTGTATAGCCAAATCTTTTGCAAAACACCAGATATCAATGATATCTTTCGAATTTAGCCAATTCAATACGATAATATCAGTTATATCTTCTATTAATTCATCAACCATAAAAAGTGCAGCCACATCTAAGAAATGTAAAATATCTTTAACGTTTTTCCCTAGATATCTTTGCATGGAAGGTTTAAGTAAATTGCCAATTCCCCGGTTAGAATATTCACGATTTTCTTCATTAATCCAATAGATGAAATTCTGAGGAAAAAAATAATTTTAGCGAGTAAACAATGAATAAATAAATTAGTAATGTAGTCACACAGAAATCAATGTGGTTAAGTTCATAGACCATAGACCCAACTGTATTGACTTCTGAGCGATTCAATTAAGTATCATATGCAAAAAGTTATATATTAACCTTGAAGGTCCATTGATCAATATCATAATTAATAATATGTTTTTTTATCGGTTTCTTGGAATATTGTGGAGAAAAAAGGCGTTCGAAATAAATACTTTTTTTAATAAGATTATCTTTGGTAGCATAGTAAAAATTATCTTGAAGAATTAACTTAATTGTATAATTACATTCTTCACTATCACTACTATCACTACTATCACTAATCACACTATCAGCATCATATCTACTATCATCTGCCATCGTATCAAGCAGCAATAGAAATGTTCAATATTTAATATATTAATAAATATTTATATGGTAGATTCTTAATACATACAGGGAATTATTTTTAAATTATATTATTTTATACGATCGCAACTATCTTATCGTACTTTATAATAAGTCATGATCACGAAATTTTCACAAAGACAAAGTTATCCTATTCGAAGATTAATCACCTCAAAATGTAAATAATACATTTCTTACATCACATACACATATTAATTTAAATTACAACAATTTCTTTAATTCTCTAAACAAATTATTTAATTATTACGCACGAAAGGACAATAATAAAACGTTGAAATATCCAATTAAGTTTTGAATTAACAACTGTAAACTTACAGTAAAGGGATCATAAAACCAATATAATTTTGAACCAATAAGGCACTTACAAGTCAGCTGCTCTGCATCTCTAATCTACAAATTAATTTTCAGTCTATAAGTCGTTTACAGCATTATAATTACTTTTACCTTAATTAAATATAATATATTTATGAAACTATTTATTATTATTATTTATCAGTATTAAAACTTTTATATCAAAGAATAGAACACAGAAGTCATAAGTCAACTTTTTATGTAAAAACATCATCTTAGTTAAAGCCGGGACCACCAGTGGGCGATGGTAGGTAGTTAGGGTTCCTAGTTAACGCGATGATGGTACAATACTATATATGCAATATAGGTTCCATAAGTGGAAGCTGTTCCGACCAAGTGAGACGAATTTCACCTTCTTTATCCTCCGAGCTTCCAGCTCACAAGGGGAGGTTGTGACCTGTAACTCTAGAAAATGAACGAAATTATACTCAATCGATAAAGAATCGAAAATAATTAGACATGTGTTTCGGCTTTTTCTCTAGTGGGGCCTTCTTCATGTGAAAAAACTATTTTTTCTAAATAAAAAAACACTGTTACGAGTTTG